ACTAAAATATTGTCAAGGCAAAGTACTGTGAAAGACTTAAGAGCTCTGATCAATTTAATAATCAATCATTACTCTAGAAAAATGATGCTGCTTTCCACATCTTGATAAAGAAGTGCTAGACTAGAGGTGCAGAATGGGACACACATTCTCAAACTCAGCTACTGTATAGATTTGTTTTGACAATAATAATTATTACTATTATTAGTTTTACAAGGGAAAACTTTTGTTATCTGGAGGTTAGATAGGAAAGTTAAGGGACAAGGGAAGGTAAATACAATAGTGATGGTAATATCAAAGATAAGAGAAGAAAAGTGCTAATGAAACATTTTGAAAACACAGTAGAAAACAGGAAGAAATTCCAAAAGGTTCCTGGACAAGCAGGGCATTGTTGGAAGTACAATGTTAAAATTAATACATACTTTAAAAACAAACTGAATTAATATAGATTTGTGGATATTATATTATTATAAACAAACCTCTTTTTTCTCTTCCTTGCATAAGGAAATGTTCATTTATGGATGTTTGACATGTTTATAATAATAAATAGAAACTTCAATATGAAAATACTTTAGAAAAACAGTTGCAAAAAATGATTCCATAGTTTCATTCTGAATTGTTGAATCCAGCTGCATAAAGCATTCTAAATCAATATCTAATAAAAAATATATATAGTGAAGAGGGGATTGTAATTGTAATTAGAAGACCTGGATTTGAATGCTGCCCCTACCACTTGGAGGGACATTTGGCAAATCATTCAACCTCAATTTCCTTGTGTATAAGAGTAGGTATAATAATACTTTCATCCTTTACAGAATGAAAGAGAGAGAGATGTATAGCTCTAATTTTATAGGCATGAGAACATCAACTGTAGATATTTTAATTTACCTTCCTATTACCACTTATCAGTGTTATTTCTCTTCCTAAAATGTGAGTCTTAAATGAGACATTGATTTGGCTCCAGTATTTTGAGGAGGTTCTGCTTTTTAACTTCCTGGTTTGAGTTGGGTTTTTTTTGGTTTTTGCAATGGGAGAAAAGGGCTTGAATTTAGATGTAAGGTGTTTTTTTTAACAAAATTAGCAGAGGAGAGCTTTTTGAGAGAACAATTTAACTCTCAAACTGCATTACAATCATAATGATTCTCTCCGATTCTTGTGCAGACTAATAAGCACAAGTGGAAATACCTAACAAAAAATCTTGTGCATGTGTGTGTGTGTATAAATATATATATATATATATAATATAGATATTACATATCTACACATAGTGGGTATTCAATAATTGTGGAAGGAAGGAAAAAAGGAAAGAAGGAAGGAAGATCTGAAAGGATTAAGGAATGGCAGAAGAAAGGAACTTCTAGTTGGAATCTAAAAAAGCCAAATAACAAAACTGATATTAGGGAATGCTAATTAAAAATATACTGACAACAACAACAAAAAAATCCTTAAATAATTACTGTGTTGGAATTCATTAAAAATAAACTCAACCTTATATCTATAATATTAACTGACATTTCCATAATACTTTAAAGTTAACAAAGAACCTTCCTTATAACAGCACTGGGAGGTAGGTAGTTTAAATATTATTGTCTTCTTTTTTTCAGATGGGTCTCAGAAAGAGTGGCTTGTCTAGAGTCACATTGCTAGCTAGAGTGCAAGAAGGACCTTGAGACCACTGCTTCTGATCAATGCTTTTTCTGCTACCCACATTCTCCTTCCTAATGTCTTTTGGTAGTTAACATACAAAAATTTGAGAGAATCCTTCCATTTCTTTGAGAGAATCCCATTATCTCTTATTCCATGGAAGAAATGGAATCTTTTCCTACTCTCATGTAGTAAAAATATGTGCTACAGCAATATGGTTATGGCAGCACATTTATGGCCAAGCCCTCTCCTTCTCTTCCCTCTGCCTCACAAAGGAGTTTGCCACTTGGAGTATGAACCCATAATCCAAGTATGAAGTCAGGAAACAGCTAAGAATTTAAATTCAGTTTCATCCTACCTCTGATTTTCCAAGAATCATTCTCTAATTCTTCTGGGATGTTTTTCTTACGTTAGGTTTCCCTGACACTCCACTACTTGATTATATAGCATACTCTCAGGACTGGTTCCCCACCAAACACTTGCAAGTTGATAGACTGCATCTCCAAGAGGTAACTCCTACCTTAGGTTATAGGATACCCTGTAGGTATAGGCTTCTACTACTATAATTCATGAATCTGCCAGGGTACTCTCTCAATATACTATACTCTTTCAGAAACAGCAGGGTCCCTAACTCTAGGCCTAGTAGAAGTCTCCCTAGTTCTCATCCTTCAGATATGGCTGAAAATCTCAATTTGACTCTAGCTTCTAGATGAAGTGCCTTCTTCTGGTTGAGTAATTCTACTGCTAGATGCCATGGGGACTTTGGGGAGGAATTCCCACCTAACTTCTTGAAGGGCGATTCACTTTCAGAGATTAGGTTATTCCACACTTACATTCTACTGCTTACTCCTGCCAGAACTAGATGGAACTGACCAACTTTTTTTGACTGACAGAAACTTACTGGACTTTTAATTAAATTTTTAAAAGACTGGGGCAATCATCATTCATCCAATGGAGTTGCTCCCTGCTGGCTAAACAAGCAATGGAGATAGTCATGCTGGGGATGACCAGGTAATCTCTGGTAGTTAACACTTCATCTTCTGAGATTATATTCTATGGCTATATCATAACAGAGCTTGGAGGCTGAAAGAGGAATGACCAAATAACCCATCCCTTGCCTTACATACCATTTCAGTACAATTCATTAATCGTATCATCTCCCCAACTAAATCCTAAGCTTCAGGAAGGCAGAAACATCTGATTTTTTGGGTCAGGTTGCCAGTCACTCAATAAATTCAAATTGACTTTATAGCTGCTTGAAAAAAAAAAGATGGCATGGTTTACTTCCTTTGGGAAGAGGTGAGAAGTAGGTTCATAGAATCAGGAGGTGGAAGGGACCTTAGAGATCATTTGGTCTAAACTCCTCCTTTTTCATTTGAGGAAATTAAACTCTAGGAGGGGCAGCTAGGTGGCTCAGTGGATAGAGCAAGGGCCTGGAGTCAGGAGGACCTGAGTTCAAATCCAGTCTCAGACATTTACCAGCTGTGTGACCCTGGGCAAATCACTTAACCTTGATTATCTCATCTATTTCCTCATCTATAAAATGAGTTGGAGAAGGAAATGGCAAAACCACTCCAGTTTCTCTGCCAAGAAAATCTCAAACAGGGTCACCGAAGATTATGTTACCGAAGGGGTATGGGTCCTGGGACAGCCCTCCCCCCAACTTTCCGTGAACTTTCCCATATGGTTCTGGCATCGCTTGAGGCTATAATCCTTTCAACTGTCCTTTCATTGTGGTTCTGACCCTGTCCCAATCTTCAATTCTCTGTTACCTCAGGATCGCCCAGGCCATTTCCCACCCTTAATCCCATCTAGACCCTTTCTCTGTTCCACAACTTGATCACATCCAGATCTTCCCACAGTCTTTCTGCATATAAAGTCCATCTTGCCCCCCCCCCCATATTGCTCAGATTCTTGAAATCTGGCCAATGGCGCAGATTCTTAAAAATCTCGTCCACCTCAATCTGTGTTTTTATAAACCTTGTCCCTGATTGAAAAACAGCTTGAGTCAAATTTTTTCTTGGCAGGACCCTCCTCTTTTGCCCTTGAATTTTGGGGTTCCCAGCACCCCTAGACCACAACACTAGGACTAAAAAAGCGCCTGAACAACAACAAAGTGGTAGCACTGGCTCAAAGATTGTGCACAATTTAATAACATTTGGGACAGAGTTCCTAATTGTTTGGTGAAATATAGACTCTTTTCTACTATTATAAAATGCCGGCACGGTGCAAGGGAATTTAGATTGAGTGGTTCTTATCTCACCAATGCCATTTACTAAAACTCTGAGCCTCATTTTTTTCATCTGTAAATGAAGGGGGCGGGGTGGGTTGGATTAGACGATCTATCTCTAGGGTATCTGCTAGGGCTCAAGTTTATGATTCAAAAAAAAAAAAAAGGATCTGTGATTTCAGCAGTACTGGGACGTTTCAGGGAGGAACTTCTACCAGTACAGACCTACAACTGTTCCGCAATACCGTAGTCCAAGGAAATGGGGGTGGGGCATTAAGCTCAGGTGATATTAAAGAGATCAGGATCCCGCAGACCACAGGTATCAAAGGAAATCGGACCTAGGGCTTCTTAACTCCAAGGCCAGCTCCCAGTCCACCACGCATCGCTCCCTTTCCTATGATTATTCACAACGATGAGCAAGGATGCGAATACAAGAGCACAACCTAAAAAATAGGAAGTTTCCTTCTTCCCAAGCCTCATTTCGTAATACCGAATTTAAAAGGCTAAGGAGGGGCCTGCCACGTTGCCGCCCCGCCTGACCCCACCCCTAGCTCTCAGTGAGGGGGCGGAGCAAGCTCCCGGCCCGGGCTCCCGGGAGCTCCTCAGAGTCGCGGGACCGGGGTGGGGGTGGGGGAGTAGGGGGGGATAGAACGCCGATCGAACGCCGGGCGGGGAAGTTCTGCAGCCCATTGGCTCTCCTGGGCACTCTGACGTCACCAGGGGCGGAGCCGGGGCCGCTTCGAGGGACTCCGGTTGGCCCGCCGGGAGCGGAGCAGCCATTGGTGGCGGGCGGTAGTCAGGGCGACAGTGGGGCCGGGGAGTGAGAGGGGTGCGGGAGCCGTGAGCAGGGCAGGCGGCCGCGGCGCGGCGGTGGAGCCGCGGGGTGCGTGGTGGGGTGGGGAGTGCGGAAGAAGGGCAGGGAGGGCGGGGCGGCTGCGCCACTGGCTTGACGACCGCCTCCAGGGAGTTCCCGCTCCGGCGGCCTGGGGGTACCCGGAGTCCGGGAAGGAGGACGGGGGTTGACCCCTCGCCCTGTCGGAGCCCCTCACGTGCCCGGGGCGCGCGCGGGAGGAGGGGGCGAGGGCGCGCGAGGCCTGCGGGGGAGGGGAGGGGCGCGGCGGGCGGCGAGCCGCGGACCCGCACCATGGGCTGCTTCTTCTCCAAGAAGCGGAAGAGCGAGAAGGAGCAGCAGCAGCCGCCGCCGGCGTCGGGGGAAGGCGGGGAGCAGCCGCCGCAGAAGCTGTACAGCTGGGACAAGCGGGAAAAGGTACAGTGGCGCACCCCGCTCCTTCCGCGGCCTGGGGCTTCCCTGCACCCGGACCCAGAGGCTCCCTCCCCTGCAGCCGGTGGAGCTCACCCCTTCTTGCATGGTCTTTCGGGGAGGGCTGGCTGCTTGCAGCAAGGATTGGAGGCTTTTTTTTAACTGTCTTGTATGCTCTGATCAAATCAAGGCGCATTATTGAATAGCGCCTGCTGTGTGTCGGGCTGGAGATACAAAGAAAGGCAAAAAAAATCCAGTCCCTGCTCTCAAGGGGCTCGCAAACCACTATGTACAAGCAAGATAGATGCAAGAAAAAAGGAGACGTGATCCACCCAAGGAAGGCATTCGTAGTGAGGGAGGTGGGGAAAGGAAATTGAAAGTGGTAGCCTGACTTCATACTGCTGCTGGAGCAGCACCCTTTCCCTCCCCGACCACCTGTGTGTTGTTAAAGGTGTTAACTGCATT